GGATGGATTATCTCAGTTGTTCTCCTGGCTGAAGGTTGGTCCTTTTACAGCATCCTGCCATGCGATTACATTTGTTCCTGACCACAGAGAACACTCACGTTAACTTTTATCGAGTGGAAAAAAAGTTAGCTTGTTTATATTATGCTAACATAGCTGTGTCGCTAGCGGTCACGTAGCACATCATTATATACCAGCTAGCCCAACTTCAGTAACCCTACAAACGTCACTGTGTTTTAGCTTTCTGTTTTCATTTGTGTTGGAAGTGATAACAGAGCTGTACGTTTTAATTTGTTTCCAAAACCCCGCAGTCAGGACATGCTATATTGTATTTAGATAGAAGCGAGCTAACTCCCTGCTAACTTCTAACTCCGTTAAATGTCATAAATTCCGTTTTCATGGATGCCTGGATGTTAAACTCAATTGTTACACCTGGTAGAGCAGAAAGCTGATCAATTTATTAAAGATGAAAGACTTTAGACAGTTTTTCAACTCTCAGTAATGCCACAGTGATCGTTTGATATATGGACCTGCAGCGGAGTTTAGGTCCAGACATGGCTAGTGACGTCAGACTGAACAATCGGATGGAAAAACAGAGGAACACGCATGAGGTCCACATACATGTCATTGGTACTGATAGATGATTCTTAAAATGTATTTATTTTTTACTCTATGATGACTCTCCCATTCTTTTTCCATCAGAACATTTGAGCCATTGCCTTAAGGCTGATGCATGAAGCTCGCAAGAATGTCACTCAATGTGTGTAACCATAGACCTATGCAATGTGATACAAACACCATTAATTCCACCTATGTTAACCTTGGCTATCAATTGAGATTATATACTAATATATTTAATTATGAGAACTATACTTTTTCCTTCTTTAGCATGGAGCATGAAATGATTTTAGTTTAGACAGTTGTTTTTATGAGTGAAGTGAAAGCACTGTGCTTTGCCTTAAAGGCAGGAAGGATTTTTCAAGGTATAATTAACAAGTTTGTCAAGGTTTTCAAACGTGGTTGTTGAGCAACTAGCAGGAGCATGCCTCTGTGACTCAGTAACATGTAATGCAAGAAATCTGTCCGATGTTTCACTTCAAGGCACATGTGCTTTGCTATTTTGCTTAGTTGACAATTTTAAAACATCTGCCCCGTGTGAGGCTCGAACTCACGACCTTCAGATTATGAGACTGACGCGCTGCCTACTGCGCCAACGAGGCCTGTGTGCTGCAAAAGCGTGTGTCCCTTTCAGAGAGCGGATACTAAGCCCACATGTGGACAGGCCTGTTTGGGGGAGTGTGCGTGTCGTATTTCAACGGACAAGCACGGGGCGGGGTTAAATAGTAAACACATGCTCCAGCCTCTTGCAGCAGATCAGTGATAAATGGCAATGGTGCAGATTTACTACAGTCTCTTATTTAAAAGAAATTTGCTAAGCAGCCTGTGTTTGGAAACCAGACTGGATATAGCAGCTTTAACACAGAAATGATGTCTGGGGAAAGGTTTGACACGAAGCACTACCCTATTTGTTTGGGCTGTAATTATCATACAGGCCATTGGTGGTAATTATTCTGTCTACTCTTACAGTGTTGTCTTCCCCTCTGTGTCTTCTTCCACTGTTCGCCTTTCCTGATGGTACTTGATTTTAGATGTTAACAGTCTGTTGTCTTGATCGGATTTAAGACAGCATTGGTTCGGTGACTTGAAGTTAAAATATATTGTACAATAATAAGAAGTGTGGTTGTAATTATTCCAGCAATGTCAACATGGGATACATACTGGGACTGAATGTACCCTGCGCTGCTTTATCTGATGATACAAAGCAAAAAGCCTCGAGCTATTGCGTTTTCAAAACTAGGGTATAATGGTGCTCATTTCTCAAAGCCATGTTAAATTAACATTGAGCTACAGCAGTGCTGCTCCGAAGGTATCTTGAGTGGGTGTAAGCACCAGCTTGTAATGCCTATAATGGAGTCAGTATACGTCTTCTTCCAGATACAGATTATTTCTGGTAGTAGTTTATATTCTGTCATGTTTTCATGCCCCCCTCATCCCACCCCACCCCCCAACTTTAACTGAGGCTCATATTTCTGCCAATCTGCTATTTGTTGTTTCACGCAAAGAATAATCTGTGTAAAAGTCCTTGTCCAATAAAGCCTGAACAAGTTACCCAAGTGTGATCAAGTGTGCTTCTGCGTGGGCCACAGAGCTCTGGATATCTACATGTGAATGAACTAAAGGTTAATGCTAATGATTAGGTTATTCTTGACACCTAAACACAATACCCTCATTTACATGTGAGAATAATTCTCATCCACACTAGTGTTTTTTTCCAAAGAGTCTCCATCCACATTACCAACCCAGAGCAGGAGGAAAATGCCTGCTGTCTTTTCTCTTAGGTGGCATACATCAATATTAAAGTTATTTATTTCTGCTAATACAAGTCTTTAATAGCAAAATAAAATTCATGTGATCATCATTTCAGTCATAACTTTTAGAATAGCTAAAAATGTCCATGGCTTTTTTCTGGTCTGACCTGAACTTCTTTTGAAAAAAATGTTGATTCCTGCTTAGCCTCCATGCCTCTCTTCAGCTCTCTCAGGGGTGGGTGGCATTGGCAGCAACTGACCAATCATAATCATTAATAAGTGTACAGGAAGCAGAGTGCCTGATCATACTATGATGTTGCAACAAGATGGTAAGGTTAAATAGGCTTTGCAGATGTGTCTCTGTGGCTTAGTTGTTTAAAGCGCCTGTCTAGTAAACAGGAGATCCTTAGTTCAAATCCCAGTAGTGCTTTTTGGTTTAATAATATTTTCCTGCTAGACCTTTTTGCTATTAGTGCCAACTAGAGCTGGGCGATATAAGATTTTTTCATATCACGATATGTTTTTTTCATTTCAGGCGATAACGATATCTATCACGATATAAGCCAAATAACTATATTTGTAAGATTTAAATGTGCCGTTGCTCACAAGTAAAATGTGAAATAATCTGCAGCTTGTTTTTA